ATGGCACTCCTAAAAAAAATGGCACTCCTAAGATACACAACAAAGACAAAATGGGACTGTTGGCCTCTCTACGCTGTTACAGAAATGCATATGGAAGCATTCCCACAATCCAATCAGTTGCTCTGTTCATTAGGGAGGGCTGTCCTGATCAAACCTCAAACTCCCTTGTCTTCAACATTTACTGAGCATCTGATTTGGGCCAGTTTTTGGCCGTAGGAACACACAGAGAAAGAAGAGGAGAAGAGATACAATCTCTGCGCTCAATGAGCTCACAATCTGTTCTAGTTGAAACCAAGGCATATTCTTATCGATCTTAGAAAGGAGTTAACAAATAATGCATGCAATATTGGATGGGGGTTCTTGCTTTCTAATTTATTTGCCCTTTGTATTTGGTCTGGAGCTATACTTTTCTAAGGGAATTAACCATACTGCAATATTTTATAATTTTTGTTGAAAAAGACACTCTTACAAATTAATGTGAATTTAAATAGAGGCTTTTAGGAAAGGATATTAAACACTTCTGAATGTTTAGTGAGATCTGTTTAACAGGGAACCATCCTAGACACCTCTCAGAACAGTAAAGGCCCTGGCTCCACTAATTCAGATTTACGACTATTTAGATAAAGTCTCAGCTGAAGTTCAAGTTTGCATTATGTCTTATTGGTACAACTGAACCATAAAAATACCTCAGAAATGTCAGCATTCTTGTGTCCAAATTTGGCAGGCATACAAAATCCTGGGTCAAACCAAACCCTATCTCTTGATTCTTTGTTGAGGAAATATTGTAATTTTATCGGCTTAGGCAAATTAATAATATATTCATGTAAATTGTTTTAGTGTGGCATACTAGTTCTAGATATTTCAAAGTAACCAAATCACACTTACGAATGCTATACATTTATTTATAAATACTTCACAAATGCTGTTGGAAGATGGAGTGGGAACTTTTTACCTTTTCATTGCCTAAATACTTAAGTGGTTAAGAATGTATATACCATATGAAATCAGACTTAGTATGTAACTTGTATGAGATAATTCAGAATTTTTCAACTTATGGGAGGCCATAAAGGCAGGCTCTATTTGTTGTAATACAAGTAGGAATTAAAGTTTTTAAGATTTTCTGTGTGCTAAATTCACTTATTTAAGACTTGTTTGTAACTATGCAGATTTTTCTTTCAGCTGAAACAAAATTGACCCTGATTTTAAAGAAATAAATAACTTTTTTTGGTGTAATTAAAAAGTATGGCATGATTATTGCAGAAAATTTGGGAAATATACAAAATGTAAAGAAAAAATCAAGACATTTATTATAAACATATGTGCCTGTTTATCTCATAGCTGAGATCATAGAGCACTCAATATCCCACTTCTCCTTTTGATATTACATTGTACTTTCCCCTCTTATTAAAAGTATTCATCTATATTTTTATGTAACATTCTTTTCCACAGTATGTTGACATTTTTGAGTTAAGTATCTGTACTATTTTTTTCATTCCCCTGTGGTCGAGCACTTGTATTGTGTCTCAGCTTTATTATTATTACTACTGTTACCAATTTATTATGAATGGTGCCATGCTGAACACCATTTCAATAAATCTACATCCAAATTCTTATCAGTTCCTTGAGGTAAATTCTTAAGGTCAATGGATATACACATCTTCACACACATCTAACTTTAAAATCAGCTTAACTAAATAAGTTAATTAAGGTTCTGGGATTTCAGCAAAGGAATAGTTGAATTCTGTTGATGACAATCTTACTCTACTGTTAAAGAGAGTGATTCATTAACACCTACCTACGGGGTACTATATTTTGGATTTCTTGCCTTGGGAGGGACTTGCCTTGTTTGACTTGTTTTAACTGGCAGAATAACAACTCAAGGCAAGATCCCATGAAGGCCATTATACAAAATACTGCCTTTTTAAAAATGAGTTTTAAATCATAAGCTTTTTCTTTAAAATTTTGAAATGAGACAACCTGTAAACCTGTAGGCATATTTCTCGTTTCACTATTTATGTATTTTTCAAGGAAAAAAAAAACCGGATGAACAAGTAAAATATTTGTTTATATTCACTTACTTGTAGTGAATATGAACATACTCCATACATTAGCTTCAGCTTCAAAAAAACATTGAACATCGGTTCTATAGACAAGAAGGTTGATTGGTTTGGCTAAAAAGTACGTCTGGAATTGTTCTGTTGCTGAAAATGTATTTTCTTCATATAGCAACACTTCACGTATCAAGTGCTTTTAAGACAAACAGCTTTTTTGTTAAAAGCAAATGTCCCAGATGAATCACATTTTTGTCAACACGTTTTGGAGGCTTCCTCAAATACAGCACTACTCACATTCCTGCCTTCTTACTCAAATGATACAGAATATAAGGTCACTTTTATTGGTGATGGAAGGTCATTTTTTAAGACACAATTACTAGTCTGTTAGCACTCAGATCCTGTGTGTCATTAAATGTTACCAGGTTATAGATTTTTAAAAGTTCTCTTTTTAGTTGATACCAGGTTTTCTAATAGTTTTTATTGTAAACATACCTACTTTTACTAGTTTTGTCCCCCTATCTTTTAACCTCTTGGTGAAAGTTCATTAGAATTCTGTTCAAAGTGAAGAATTCTCTAAGTGAGAACTTGGGGAATAACATCATGAGTAGAACTTTGGTGTACGGAATCTAAGCAAAACTACTTTGGTTTCTCAAGGTTTGGCTGACTCCCAGGTTTCTGACCCTGTCAGAGAGTGACGCTGTTAATGTACCACAATCCTAATAGCAGTAACAGTCACAGCTCAAACCAACTAATTATTCGCTGTAGCTTCTGATCTGATTTTCTTGCTCTTACTCATTTCTCCCCACTATCATTCGTAGTCACTCTTTAAAAATGAAAATATAATGTCATTTCTGTTTAAATCTTCTAGTGGCTTCCTCATAACTTAGAATAAATCCAGGTATTATCTCAGCCTGGCCTGCAGAGCCTGGCCCAGGCCCCTCTCCTTGCCCCCTTCATTTCCTCCCTCCCAGCCACCCCCTTTTGTTCACTCTTGATTTCTTGCTGTTCCTTCAATAGGCAACAGGCTCATCTCAGTGCTTGGGCATCTGCCATTTTCTCATCCTGGCACTCTTCCCTACTTGGCTCTCTCCCTTGTTGCTTTCAGATCTCTTTTCTTTTATCCTCATCTGAGGACATTTCTTCATTGCTTTTAGAGAGAGAAGAGGGAGAGAGACAATGATGTGAAACAGAAGCATTGATCGGTTGCCTCGTGTATGTGACCAGACTGGGGATCAAACCTACAACTTAGGCACATGCACTGAATGGGAGCTGACCCACAACCCTGGTGATAGGATGATGATCCAGCAGAGCCACACAGGCCAAAGTGCATTCACATCTTTTCAAATTTTGGGTCCCCAGAGGTCTTCAAAGAGCATGCTGCAAATTCAATTCAGAATCCCTTGTCACTTCCCAATCTCCTAGCCAGTTATATTTTCCTCAGAATGTCTTCAGAGTACTTCCATCTGAAATGATCTTAATGTGAGTTTACTGTCTATTTCCTCTCCAAGAATGTAAATTCCATGAGAGCAGGGGTTTTGTTTTTTTCATGAATGTATCTGAGTACAGAAGATGCCTCTGTGGGCTAAATAAGTAATTTTTGAAAGAATGAAAACTAATTTTTGAACTTTAAAAGTTACTTAATTCCCACTACAGTCTAACAACACATCTGTGGAATACCCATTTCATAGGCTGTTCAAACTGAATTTCTGAGAAGTTAAATAAACTTGTCTGAAACCCAGTCATGAAGTACTGAAAGCGGGAGAGTTGGGAGCTGGGCAAGCCTGTGTTAACCTTGATGGATAAACTAGTATTTTAGATATGGTCACTGAAGCCACTTGGACCCACAAAAGGCACAAGTGGCAAACCTGAACTTGAGAACAAGCTGCATATAAGACAAAAGATAGACATTAGTGTACTTATTTTCCCAAGGGATGTATGCACAGCTGATGGTGAGGTTCTTGAGGCCAAAGTGAAAACAGATCATGTAGCTAAATATGACCCAGTTATCCTGAACCGTGAGCATCAAGACGACTGAGGAGTGAGAACAGAAGCAAATCTCCAGGAAGCGCACAGGGAGGCCGGGATGAAGAAGTCGGGGCTGTCACAGCAAGCTGGCCGGCAGGCCTGGGTCTCTTGTAGTAAGGTGGAACTTCTGGAGGCATCACTCAGATAAATAACACCAGTCATAACCATCCATTCTAAGTTGAACACTACTTACCACCAGTTTGTTGTCTGCCAGGTATACTTATAAAAAAGACAAACAAAAAAGGGAAACTGTACAGAAAAACAACGAAGAGACAGTATTAATGTGATACATGTGAAGATACGCAGCCACCTCACCCTTCGAGGATGGATGGTGGCACAGCTGCGGGGAGGGGTCACACCCATACCTGGCGCCTGAGAGGTGCAGGTAAAAAGGCCTGACAACTCGGCCCCAAACCAGGATAATCAATCGAGGACAACCCGGGACAGACAGCTCTCCTCCAGGTTCACCAAGGCTATCAGGCCTGCATCACGGTTTTTTCCTTTCTACCTGCTCCTGCTTCTTGGCGTTCTCCTTTCACAGGTGAGGATCCCTAACGGCTGTCTTGTACTTCAAACACCTTTACACCCGCTCCCACAGAACCCAACCTGCAACACTGGGTTAGTCATTTGGCTAATGAAGTGTCTGTGCTGGTACACTGGAACTGAGGATAGGCTCTGGTTTTCCAGTGATGAGCAAAAGGCAGTCCCTGTCACGGGGGTTATTACCTGGTAAGGTGGCAGTAGTTACATAAAAGTTAAAAAGTAAAAAAATACATATTGCACCATTAGGATCTGTAGGAAAAAAGCTCCTATCAACAACTGTTAGCATACACGTAAAGTACAGTTGTTTTCATGTTAAAAGTATGACAATATAGGCACCATCTCAGAATTCATTCTACTATCAAAATAACACTAACAAAATTGTTGGTGTAACAAAATCTCGTTGACTTTATTTAATTCTTTCATATCTGCAATGGAAGACCACCATTCAGTCACTCATTCATGTCTTTATCAGAATAGATCGCTGATAAAATATTAAGAATGCACGTAGACTTTTGGTATTAAGAAGGGTAACAGTGACTCCAGGAGGGACCTATTTTGCCCACCAGCCCATAACCCACCATTCCTGTACCAGCACCGCAGCTCCCTGTGCTTTGCCTCCTCTCCTACTTTAGGTTCACATGGTTTACGTGAGGGCATGTCGCCCATATTTGAATCATCAGGAGCAGAAATTTTCCTTCCTGACTCAGAAATGTGCACACAGTCCCAGGCAGACAAATGACAGCGAACTTCTGGATTTTGCTGAGCTTTGAGGCAAGAAGCTCTTATTCTAGCGGGATCAGAAAGCATATAGGATGTAAATCTTCAGCTTCTAGTGGCCATCATTCTGCCTGAGAAGGGAGTCAACTGAACCCTTTAAAAACTGGCTTCAGAGAAAAGCTTAAAATTACAACTGGGCCATCAGATCAAAAGATTTAAAACAACAGGGTCTTACCACTGTCAGATTATGATGTTATAATACCATCTCTGAAAATAAATTCATGCTCATCCCAAGGTCTCCCAAACCTTTTATTTTTTAGAATCTAACCTTTGTCTAGGAAGTAGCAAAGTGAAGGAACATTGTTAGTAGTCATCTGACAAAAACTCTCCATTACTCTTGACATTAAAAATTGAATGCAATCATTAAAGAAAATACTATATTACCATCTACAGAATATATTTAGAATCCTGTGAATTCCAGTGATTAGATTTTAGTCATGCTTGGCAAGGACAGAACAGTGGCTAAGAAGCACATGCTCTCATAAAAGACACCTAATTGGTATATTCAGGGTGAATAATACTATAGATTTAAACATAATACAGTTTTCCTCAGAGTAAACAATTTTAGTTTCTAAAGAGCATTCACTTCCAACATCTCAATTCCTGATTTCAGTGGCTGCACACTGTGTACTTCGATGCCACACTTAGGACAAGTAAAGTACATGTCAAACAAGAAACTGCTCTTAACACAGTAATAGCAGAAGATGTGCTCACAGCCTATGGTGTGGGGCATGGTGGGCCACTCCCCGCACAGAGCACACTGTTTTCCACTGCTGGCTAATGAGTTGTCACCATCAGGAGCACCAGTGAGAGGGATGCACCACATAGATAACTTGGCTTTCAATTTTTGGATGTTGATGAGTGGTAAGAGAAAAATGAGAAACTCTGCAAAACCATGCCAGAGAAGTTCTCTATTCATATACTCAAAGCCAACCTCACGCATGTTCTGGGGCTTGCAAAATACAGACCGCATTCCTAGGAGACGTTCTGTCAAAGTTGCAAACTTGCCCTTTTGGAGGAAAATCAAGAAGTTAATCAATCCCCCTAATTTCAAAAGTCCAACCACAAAGTTCACACACTGTTTGGCTTTCCTGAATGATGCTAAGTGATGGTTTCGAAACAAATCGTAGCATCGTTCTTCTAACCACTTCCCACCGATTGTACAGACAGCATACCAGAGCTTTTGGTTTTTACTCAGTGGCTGGTATCTCAGGGTCGGAGAAAAATCATTTTTGTACTGAATATTTAAAACAGACTGTCCCACAGTGGCATTTTTAGAGTAAATGGTGAATCGCCATAGAAAAAGCCACAAAAGGGCTTTTAGCTCAGGTTCAAAGCGGGCTAAGAGCCCTGGCTGAAACCCATGGAAGCACTGAGTAACCTGGGACCACACCAGCTGCTCCAGGGCCTTGTTCAATTCAAGTGCATCCAACTGACTTATTCTTAGCACCCTGTGTGTGCTCTTCACAGTCTCTTCTCCGGAAGCCATGCCTTCTGCAAAGAGCTCTAGGAAAAAGCACAATTAGGAAAGGTGGTCAGACAGTAGAGCATTTGTACCATCTCCGCAACTCACACTTAGAAAACTGTGAGACAGGGCACATACAGGATGGGCCTTTGCATGGTGTAAAAAGAGTGCACTGGACTGTCGCTTCTTACTCTGAACTCATTTCTCTTTCTTCTCACTTGTCCTCCCTCCCTCCTGTCTTTCCTGTTTTTATTTTTTCATTTGGCCCTCCTCACCAAAGGAATGAAAGGTTTTAGCAAGTTGTGTCCCACTGCTATAAATGCTCCTCTATGTAATCTTCCTTGCTCAGACAGTTTAACAGGGAGATAATAACAGTTCTGAGGCTGAATAATAGCATGGCTGATGCAGAAATATATACACTTAATAAATACAACGAACCATATGAAACACTGCAATGAAGAGTAAGTCAAGACCTCAGTTTAATACCCAGCACTTCTATGGACTCCAAAGGTATGCTTTTCAACAAGTCGCTTAATCTCCTACTTATTCACAAAGGCAGGTAGGAAAAAAAATAATGAACAATAAGTGTCCATTATTCTGTCACACAATTGCAGAAAAATAAACACTAGCACACAGCAATATGAATGCAGAAATGTCATTATTAAGACACTAAAAAGGTACACATCATACACTTTCTAATAAAAGAAAACTATGATGTCAAAATATGGTCTAAGATCATTTCACAAATACATTGAGGAAACAAATCAGCACTAAAGGGTCACAAAGTTTTTATAATGAAGCAGAGAAAGCTAGTTAATGGTTTGCTAGGTATGACTTACTGATTCCAAATGCATTTATTACATGCCTACTATATACAAGCCAGGGCCATATGGTGCCTTGACAGTGCACTTTTATCAATGAATTTGCAAATCCAGACAATGATATAAAACCTGTTTAAATTTAGTTTCTGAAATGGACCCCCTACCAGAGCACTTTCTTAGAAGTTAAAAGGACTGCAATGTTTATCCTAAAATAAAGTTGTTCATTTAAAAAGTGGCATATCTTTACAATGAGGGAATTTTTCTAGAAAGAAGATTTTAATTACCCATGGATCCCAGATCACTTAGGGGCAAGAAGTTCAAGTACAGGAAACAAAAAAGACTGCTAAATAATAGGTTGTTTAGTGCTCTTTTCCTCCGAAACGAGGTGTATGACAGGAATGCTTCTCGCCCATTCTGGGTGACCTTACCTCTTGCCCCTTCCTGTAGTTCTGTCAAGACTTCTAAGACTATAGCAGCAGGGATTTGGGCTATAAGTTCTGTGAAATCCTTGCTTCATACTGGTCAGGAACTACAGGAGAGAAAAAAGGGGGTTAGGACAGTTTTCTTTGCTCCTTCTGCATATCTAATTAATACCCAAGGCCTGTTCTTTGTTCAAAATATATTTCTAATCCATTCCTTACTCTATCCTCAGAAACCTTCTCCTAAATTCCACTGTTCTCCTCTCCCCTGGATTTTATCTAACAGGTGTATCCTACTTTCCAGCTCTTTCAGTGCATTGCCTACCCTGCAATCCATCAAAAACAAGCCTCGCCAAATCACCCCACCCAGCTTGCCTGTCTAATACTTTGAGCTCATCATAAAGTGCCCCTTCTCTTGCTAAGGGATATTTTACTCCCTGCACCCTTTGTTGGGAACAGTCCATTCCCATTCTTTAACTGATAACTCACCCCAAGTTCTTAAGCAGTGAGGTAGGCATCACTTCCTCTGGACTCTCCACATTTGGCGAGCTGCCTCCTTCAGGTGCTCCCTGGCACCCCACTCTTCCTCTAGACCCTGCTGAACTGTGTATACCCTATTCTTTACGGTTGGTTTCCTCCAATAGAAGATAAGCCCTGTTGCAAAGATACTTTGAGTCTTCACAGTTGAATCTTACAACCAGTAAAGCACCTGGCACATAGGATATATTGTATAATATTAGATAGACGGATCAATGGACGGAAAAAAGTCTGGGATGGGTAAAAGACAGAAAATACAAATTCCCATCCATTCAAACTATTTCAAACGCCCACATCAAGACAGTTACTAGCCCTGGCTGGTGTAGCTCAGTGGATAAAGCATGGGCCTGAGAATCAAAGGATCGCGGTTTGATTCCCAGTCGGGGCACATGCCTGGGTTGCAGGCTGCTTCCCTGCAGGCCAGTTCCCAGCAGGGGATGCACGAAAGGCAACCATAGATTGATGTTTCTCTCCCTCTCTCCTTCCCCTCTATAAATAAATAAATAAATAAATAAATAAATAAATAAATAAATAAAATCTTAAAAAAAAAAAAGACTTACTTATTACTTATTTCAACATGTGTTTCTTGTGCACCTGCTACATAGCGGTTAATAGGAGAGAGTGAAAGAATAGTAGATTAGACCGTCTCAACCCCTGTGGAGACTTTAATGTAATGGGATGAAGAGTCGGGTTAAGAGTGAGCTATGTAAAATGTCAGACAATTACAAGCAGGTGTGGTAAGTGATATGCAAGGGGAAATTCAGGGAATTATGCTTACAATCGGAAAAGGCTTCATGGAGAGGCAATACCTAAGCAGCCACTGAAAGGTAAGTGGTGTCAGGCTGGTAAAGGAAGGTAAGGACACTAGTCCTGACAGAGGGAAGGGCAGGTGACAAGGACTGGGGGTGTAAGGACAAAAGGTAAGGCTGGGAAGGAAAGTGTGAGACCCATTTCCAAGGCCCTAAAAGCCAAGTTGAGGAGGCTTTATTTTATCAAGAGAGTCATGGACAGCCATTAATAGATTGTATGAAAATAATATTATTTTCATTTTAGGCAGTTGGTGCTGGCCACACTGAGAATGGATTTGAGGCTGAAAGACTGGAGGCACAGAGAACAGTTAAGGTGATTGTTAAAATGATCTAGTGAGTAACTACTGATGGTCTAAATCTGAAAGGCATCAGTGAGGATGGAAAGAGGTACCTCTGAAAGCTAGGAAGTGGTAGAACTGACAAGATCTCATGAGAAATAATCCAGGAAGCACTGATTTGAGTAATTGAGTGGATCCTACCAGTAACTGAGAGAATGTACCAGTTCTCTGAAATGGAAAACATGCAGATATATGTTTGAAGGGAAAGAGTTACATGTAACTTTGGAGAGCTGAGGCTCCTATGAGACAGATGGCTAAGTGGATAAGTTCAGTAGGCAGTTCTGTATATATGGGAGAAAAAGTCTGGGTGGGGAAGTTTAGCATGGGGTCCCTCTCACTGGACTAACCTATTTTAATTCTAGTTAAATGCTCAGCTCAGAAAAGCAGTGATCCACACAAGACAAATGGATCTTGTCCATTTTACAACACATTTAAGTTTCTTGGTAACAATATAATCTTTTCATAGTTTCCCTATTTCAGCTACTATGGCATTTCATTGATTACGTTCACTGATATCACATATAAAGATAAAGGCTTCCAATGTTTCTATGCTGTGCTCCTCAACATCGGAGTCCTGTAGGCTCCTGTTCTTCTGGTCTAGTAGTTCTCAGATTTGAGCATTTATTACACCCATTAATAGGACTTGTTTGATAGTGGTGCCTCAGTTCCAGAGTTTCTGATTCACGAGGCCTGGGATCAGGAGCCAAGAATTTGCATCTCTAACATGTTCCCTGGTGATGTTGACAATTATGGAGCTAGTGCATTTCAAACCACAACTCATAAATACTTAATACTTTGGCATAAATAATTTGGCACCTATTCAGCTCAATGTTGTGTGCTGGCCTACCCACTCATTCCTGGTTTGGTCTCATCCTTATATCCAGAGGAATTGTTAAACTGCACTGACTCAGGTGCTCCCTTTCTTCTATTAAGTCGTCCTTGTGGAATTCGAGACCATTCATGGCTTCCACGAACTCTATGCACATTAATACACCCTAGCCCTGCAAGGTGCTTGGGATACACAGATAAAGACTCATCCCGGCCCTCGACCAAGTCTGCAAGGAGGAAGCAAGTAAATTGGACAGCAACAAAGGCAGATGGTTTCACATGTTCTCAAAGACAATACATAGAATTTCAAAACCATCAGTAAGATTTTTTTCACTTTTCCTACAGTTTACAAATTTTCCCTAATTAACTTAAATCATTTATGTGACTAAGAAAAAACTAAAACATTATTTGAAAAACCTCATAATCAACCCAAAACCTACAAAATTAGTTCCCCACACTTACCATATCACTGCTTTCTTATTTTGCCCCTGGGGTAAAGTACAAACTTCTTCAGGTAAAGACACACCCTGGCCCAGTTCTTTCTCCTCCCCTGCAATCGTGTAACTGTCATTCCCCAGTGGAGCCTTGCGTGCAGACCCCATTTCAGTCCTGTCTCTCTGTCTTTTCCATGTACCTACCGATGTCCCACAATGCCCTGAACTATCTGCCCTTCACATTCCAACTCTATTGCAAAATTCTCCACAAAATCCTTAACTATCCCCAACTCCCATTATCACCATTTTTAAAGTGTGGTAACAGGCCTGTGACATGCAATCGAGCCCTCAACCACTTGTACTATATTTCAGTCATATGAACACATCATCTCCTAACTTGACTATAAACTACTTAAGGGAAAAGCCTTATCTTATATTTATTTCCCATAGTACCTGCCACTGATACAGTGACTCTGATACCTAGCTCAGTTTTTGTCATGCAAAATTCTACAATCATTCGTGGTATGTGGGGATACGGTATGTGTAACTCGTCTACTGTAACACAGTGTCTATGATATATAGACTTCATATTCTCTGATCAGTAAGGTAAGGGAAACTCTTTGACTGTCACAGTGCTCTTGAAAAATCTCTGACCATACTGGACACCAACAGTAAGTCCAGTTCCCTTTCCTCTCCCCCATTCCCTTGTTAAACTGGAAGGACTGCTACTTTTTTTCAGATGATTATAGGACAAAATATGTGGCTTGCATCAGAAGCCATTTTTACTAATTTATGTATCTTTGAATACTAGAGTCACAACTCAAATTGTAGCTGATGAATAGCTTATTACCTTACCACAGAAGATGGGCTCATAGTAGCTGCTCAATAAATGTTTTGAATGAATGCGCAATGGAATGAGTAATCTGGTAGCTCCTCAATGTGCCTGCTGAATACTGTGAGAACACCTATAGAAATGGGACGGGGAGGAAAGCTCTGTCTTCCTCAGGTGACTTACTCATGTGTAGTGAGAAACTGGTCACAGGGAGTGGTTACTAAGAAAGTTATTTATTTGAAATCCCTTGCTTCTGGAGGAATCATACTGAGGAACATTTAGTAAAGATAGGAATTTCTGGTATCTGTCAGAAATAGAGACTTAACACACTCTCTAACCAACCCAATATTTTACAAACTCTTTCTCATCCCGCCTGTAACAGTTTAACATTCCACCCCCTTTACTCCCAGGCCTGGCCTCCCTGCAGATTAAGAACAGCTGGGCCCTCAGACTCTTCACTGGACCAGCAGACTATTATTAAACTGCTCTCCAGCCTTTCCCCTTCCAGATGAATAATCTGTTTATTTACTTTTTGTTTTAGGTTTTATTTTGCAACACTATAGTTATTTTTGTGACCTCCTTCTGTTGTAAGCATAGAACAGGCACTGCATTACACACCCCATGTTGAAAGCAGAACGACGCCTATTTAGGTGTCTGTGGAAAAATAAAAAAAGGCAGACTTAAAACCCAATCAGACCTGGGGTCAAGCTCTAGCTTTGTCATTTACTTGCCATGTGATCTTAAGAAGTCATTAGCCTCAATTTCTTCAAAAGGTTGGAAATAACAGCTACCTTACAAAATTGTTAAGATTTAACCAGATAACATTATGAAAGCAGTTAGGAAATGGGAAAGCAGTATTTTTTATTATATTATTTCTACTTTGCCTGGGGCTGGGCATAAGAAGAAAAAGACACTCAGTTTGTTTTGGTAAATCTCATTTCAAAAGACTGAAATCTTCATTATTACCCATACTAACTGCTTCACTGAACCAGGAAGTACAGACAGCACCACTGAAACACAACCGTGACAGACGTGAACACGGTGGCACCAGTGTGTGCAAACGTTGGTGGGCAGGCAGGAAGGGGCAGAGGCAGAGCTCGGTGGTCTCATCACACTCTACAACAGCACCTAGTCTGGAAGGAGACCAGACAGGGGGATTCTGAGACAGTGAGGATGAGTCTTCCTGGTTAGTTAATGACCACCAGCATGGCTGTTTAATAACAGAAAAAAGAAGAAACCCCTAAATTTCCACAGCTACACCAGCCAGGGCATGGCTGTTTTTTTGATAGGGAGGCAAAGAAACCTCAGGATCGAACACTGTCAATATGTGACTCTAGGGTGCTTCGCTGCACAGGGTACGGTACAAGACAAACATCCAACCTCTGTTCTTTACCAGCACACTACACTCAATTCCTCCTCCTTTCCTCTCGCTCCCTTCTGCCAGGTGCAGTTATTCTGGAATACTCACAGAAGAAATGGATGCAAGTGACATAACTACAAGTTCAATTAATCTGATTATGAAACTTCTACCCTCCATGGCTGTACAATATTTGCTCATAAGGTGTGGAATACAAAAAAATGTTGTGAGTGTCTTTAAATTACATAAAGTTCTCCTCCATATAATTTAAGCAGTTTGTGTTTTAATGAATTCGAATTATCTGACAAATGGGTACTCAATTTAACCAAGAGCTACTGAATGCCTACCAAATGCAAGACATTCACCTAGGTACCAGAGATTAGATCCAATTATTTCTCTCTCGGTTAACTTCTTTTCATTCAAAAAATTTTAAAGAAATAGGATGCCACTGTAATCAAGATTAGTCATTGATATCTGAGCAAAGAATGAATCTCAAAATGTAAAAACACAAAACTCCCCCAGGCAGAAAAGAGAAAAATGGTATTTAAAGCAAAGAAACAGGCTGTGCAAACCCCACAAGCGTGCCAGCCGTGAGACCTGGCCATGGTCTGTCTGGGAGTCATGGAAATGGCATCCACACCAGCTTCTTCCTGGGTACTCAGTCCCCATCAGTGTAGCTGCGCTTGTTACGTGGAAGCAAAGAAACAAGTCATCTGCTGTGACCACAGCAGAATGGACTGGCAGGAGAGGCTGGATGAACAGTCAACCTGGTGTAAAAAGACCTGTTTTAAGGAGATTGCAGTGACATTGTAGGCATGAATAATCGTTAAAGGGCACAGACATAACAGGATATACATTTTAGAGGATCAATTTGATGGCAGAGTTCAATGACTGAACAGTTACAGGACCCCTGTGACAATTCAAGGGACTTAAAACTTTCTGGAAAAGTCCAATTAATTTAACTTGCTTCACTAAGAACCATGAAACTCAAAAAGAAGTTTGTGGTGTGCACACATTATCAAGTCAAAACTCCCCAAGTCATTTGGTAAACCATACTTTCCTGACGCTGCTGCACTGACTGCTGTCCATGCCCACTCCTGGTCTACTTTACTTTCAAGAGTTTAAGTAAACATTAACACTACTCACATTATTGTTTCTCGAAGGTTAGTATCTGGTCTCATAAAAGTAGGCTCCATCTTAAATATTAAAAAAAAAAACACAAACTAATTTTTACTCTAAGAGTTGGGACTGTTTTGGATAGAAACAAACACCATCAGATTTAATCCAAATTGAATTCTCCAGAATGCCAAAAACAAGCAATGTTTTTTCCCTCCATCTTTTGACATGGAATTTCATTTCTTTAATAAAGAATCTCATGACTCCTACCCTCACCAAGCTATACTAACTTAAGATTCTAAAAGACTAACACCAGGGAAAACATTTATGACAAAGCAAAAAGATTTATAAAAATATTTAAAAGTATAATTGGCACTAAATTATAGTAGTGTTTAGTGAAGGATAGGGTATGTGAAAATGATGCTTAAGGTCTAACGAAGACCAGGTAAGTACAGCGACTACTAGGGTTAGCGTGATTAACTTGTCACATAAATTTGTTTAAGACAAAATGATCTAGCAGTAAAAACTATTAAGACGGTCTTCTGCTGACATTTTATCACTAGACAGGTCAGACTAGTTTTCCTTCACAGAAAACACCCCCCCAAATTTGTTTACTAAGAGCAGTGATACATAATGACCTTATCCCTTAAATAACTCATGTTTTTCTTCTACACTTTTCATTCTTCAAAATAAAACTTTGTCATCTCTATTGCATTCTATAACCAACACAAATGGTTCTATCTCACTAAAGAGGGGAATGTTTCAGGATGTATTTCAGCGCTTTTATTGCGTACAAATTATGAATGAATATATTTTATTTAAAGACACATTATTGACAGAAATCTATCAATAATAATGTGGGTATTGTCAAGGGCCTGTCAATATTAATGTAATTATGATTAAGGGGATGACATGGATTTTCAGCTATAATACCAAGTAACATCTCCTACATTGCTGCTATCAATATACACATTATTATTGACTTGTTCTGAGACTCAGTACTAGATGTATTACCATTAGACATATTTGTCAATGCATGCTGCCTACACAAATTCTACATTGAAATTTACAGTTCTATAAACTTTGCAAGCAGTACCATGTGATTCCTAAGTAACCTCTCAGGTATCAAACCCATACTCTCCCTCCACGCCTAACCCCCCACAGCCCACCAACCCCAGGCTATTCTTTTTAAGATTCACAATAATCAACTAATTTTTAGTATGATAATGTTGCTGCCACACTATCCTAAGGGTTTCAGTAATCAAAATGGAGAGTGTGCCTAATCATTTTTTCCTTTTAGGTTATAAAAAAACTTTAACACTTTACATTATGAGTTTATGTGAACAAAGTTCTCAAACTGGAGACTTTAAGCTTTGAAACTCCAACCTACTATTTCTATGTGGTCACATGGATTTACTGTCCATTGTATTGAAATCAATACTAATAAATGGGACATGCATCAAAGAGGGATTTAACAGGATACCGATTCCCAGAACACATCTCAAAATGAGTGAGAGAGTAAAAGCCATGGCTGAGACCATTAGAACACTGTGACCTCTGACAGTGCGAACAGCCCTACAAGTCAACGACAACAGGTTCAAATCCCACTTCTGCCACAGACTTGCTAAGTGACTTGTCACTACTCCTCTGTTGCTCTCTGTCATCCAACCTAAACCAAGTTTATAACTGTCCCAATTGTGCTCCTTTAGATATAGACCAGACAAGCTGGATTTTAAAAATTCTACTATGGACACTAGACCTCAAATTGCTCTTAAATGCAATCTTCATCAAATTTCAAACAAGACTTTTTTTTTTTCTTTTGGGGGAGGGTACACAACAGAATATTTCCAGAATTTATTTGAAGAAAAACTTCAAAATATCTTAAGTTTCTCAAAAAGATGAGTACTAATAAGTAAGCAGACCTAGCAGAGGGAACATATTTTACTTGGAGCCATCTCAAAGATAATAATTACCATTACACAATTGAGTACTTACCTATTTCATTTTCAGCATGTTTACTCAAGTATCTAAAACTAACGCAAAATACTTTCTAAACCTTAAAACAGAATTCCTAGTATTTTGAGCAATCTTCATAAAGACATTTTTAAGAGTATGATGTTCATAATCTTTTCTTTCAGAAATCTAATACTTCTGAGTCTTGAAGAGAGAAAGTAACTTGTGAAATAGAGCACAGATATGAGTGAATATGGGTTGATGAATCTGATCAGTTCTATATTCCAGCCCAGGTTCATCAACAGGCTGTGTGACTCTGGACAAGTCATCATCATACTACATTATACTTTTCAGCAGTTTAAAAAGCAAGCAACTATAAAAATTTTATCTAAAATTCTTATAGAAATTATTTTGGGAAATCTTGGAATAGGAAGAAAATGAATGAAAGACAGTCATTTCCAAAGGCAGATATGGTAATGTTGAACTTGAGCCTGGAAAAGACTAGAGCAAGTGGAGAAATCAGAACAGAACATGGAAGACAGAGAAACAATCCTCATGGAAAAACAGCAAAGCTTATGGAACACAATCCGCACCAGCTCATGAGTTCATGGCTGCAGTAAACACATGCAACTTCTTTACCAGTTATTGAGTGCTAATGACTGCTGTAGCTAAGTGCCCTTTGCAAAATGAAATAGTAAATCATTTCATCCTTACAATAGGATGAAAAAGGTTTATTATTTGTTTCAAAACAAGGAAACTGAGGCTGACTACTGCAAAATCACACAGCTAGAAATAACAGAGCCATATTCTGAACTAATGGATTACACTGACAAGTAGTGATAAAAAAATCAACAACAAAGGAAAGGTGAACATGGACACTTTCGGATGACACCACAAAGCATGCAGCTGGGGCTGTTTTGAGAGGCTGAGTACTAGGAGATTGAGAGTACAGGCACAAACTACAGCACTAATGCCAATGCAAGGATGAACAAATGAGCCATGTTAACCATGAAGCAACCATCTTTAAGTACTTTATACATTTAGAAAAAGGCTCTAGGATCTAATGGCCAAAGGAGAAACTTCTAAACGATGTGAAAATTACTGAAACATGCATTTCATTACACATTTTATGACAATGGAGAGAATGTGGAAACATTTACATAAGAACAGAGGTCTTAGCAATGGAAGAGGAGCAAATATGGTATGACACATATTATGTGCTTCATATTCTTTATCTCACTGAATTCACATAACACAGTAAGTATTATCACGTTCACTTAAGAAGACCAAAATTAAGGCTTGAGAAGATTACCAGTAACTCGCTTGTTTAAGACAGCTAGCAATTAGTAAATTTCTGGTGAACACTAGAGAAATTGTGGAACACACAAAAGGAAGTTAGTAGTATGGATATTTGGTAAGCTTGGATCCAATTCAATACTACGGAGCTCAAAGCATGATGTTTTTCCCCCTCAAGACCAGACTGCTAGTCACTCTCAAGACTACAGATCAGGAAAGAAATGACAGGAATGTGGTCAAGTTGCCCATGTTGCATGTCATCCACATTCCCTCTCACTGCTTCTATACACGTGGTTAGAGAAGCATTTTAAGACTGTCACATCTGTACAAAGAAAATACATGGGTGCAAAAATGAGGCATGAACATTCATTTAATGATTAGGAACCCATATTAAATGTAACACAGAGGCAATGCCAACTCATCAAAACAAAATTACTCTAGAGCTCTTGGTTTTTATGTTTAACAAGTAAGCAGAAAAGTCCCATGGATAAAATTTTATCTCACCTTACTGACACTCAGGTAAGAAGGGGATGCTCTGATAAAAAAATATATATATATTGAACGGAATAAAAACAGAGGAAGGGCATTTAGTTGTGTAGATGGGAAAGGCTGGGGAGAAGTCATTAACATTCCACAACGGAAGGGACAGAGGGTGCCTATGTTCTCTCTCGAGCCTCCAGTTGCATGTACAAGAATTACAGCACTAGCATTTGCAGCACCAATGTTACAGACCTGGAGCAAGAGCAGCAGTCAGGGACTCTCTCATTGGAGGGTTCTTCCACAGTCTGAACGAACTGAAGAGGAGCATGGGACATTTAGAAACTGCTGTCATTTCACAGGAAAGAGATAAAAGGAATATCCAGTGTGCTTTTAGGTTCCCCAATCCAGATCATCAAGGGAGGGAAAGAAAGGAGCAAGTGATTCAGAGCAGAACTTGTGTCCAGGAAAAGACAGTGTGGATAGCATACATTTCCCTTGTGCTATGGAAACCAAGTACATGTGATGCTGTGAGGAAAACACACAGCTTGGACTAAGAACGTTACTAGCAATGTGATAGTGGGCAAAACTGCTAACATCTGTAAGGTTCACGTACCAAATATGTCAAATGAAAATACCTGCCTTCCTATTGCAAAGATGATTGCAACCTTTGAATATAAGTACAAATTTTATGGCTAAAATAAAAGGGTAGGCGGGGAGAAAGAATTATGATTCTGATCCTAAAGAAAATTAAATTTAGCCCTGGCTGGTGTAGCTCAGTGGATTGAGCGAGGGCCTGCGAACCAGACAATGGTGGTTCGATTCCCAGTCAGGGCACATGTCTGGGTTGCAGGCAAGTTCCCTGCAGGCCAGTTCCCAGCAGGGGACACATGAAAGGCAACCATACATCGATGTTTCTCTCCATCTCTCCTTCCCTCCCCCTCTAAAGATAAATAAATAAAAATATTTAAAATGTTTAGTCTCTTTTTGACTAAAAAAAAAAAAGAAAATTAAATTTAAAATCTGTATCTATTAAACAAATGAGATTGAATATGGCCATGTTTATGGCTTTTAGTAATGAACTGTGAACATTATCTTTCATTATTAAAATATTAATAAGTAAATACACATTAAATACAAATGAATAATTATACTATAGAAACAGAATTTAAATGCTAGAAGAAAACACAGGATATCTAGCCTAAGACATGAACTTAATTTTCTTAACAGAAACCCTGTTTTTCAAGCAAAATATATAAAATGGTTATTGAGGGTCTGTTTGCTTTACCTTTCCCCTACAAAGCTCCAAGAAATTTCTACAGCTTTTCCATGGAAGAGTTTTAAAACCAGAAGTTCGGTGTTATCCCTAATTTCTGAAAATGAGGAGAATAAGGCCAAAGGTAGAGTTGGTCAAAGGAAAAACCAGTCAGGTCTGGAAGTCAATTTCCTTGACTTAGTGTAACATTCTCTCTACAATGTCCTGTTACTTTTATTTTGCTTCTGTTTTTCTTTAAAGAAAAAAATTGAAGGATTCTCTTTTTGACTTTGCAAATAATTCTATTCACTCTCTTCTTTCAAATCTACTTCCAGCTTAAGAGCATTCAACTCTAATCTTTCTGGATACAACTAATTGATAACATGGGTCAGATCAGAGAGAATATAAGTGAAAGAGAAAAATGCCAAGTCAAGTTTATAAACTTGCTATCCCAAGTTTATATTCTGTTGAGACTTAACTAATGGTAACACATTAAGGGAAAGTGTTCAAACTACAAACTGTGGTGTGGATGAAGCCTCAGCCTCCCCTTAATCGCTTTTAAATGTTAAGACAAAACATTTATTCCCAAGGCCATCATGGAACACGTTAGACATCAACGTTCAACAACTGGTATCATTCTGTGAAATGCCCTTTTCTCCACAAATTGTTTAATTTTTGGAAAATTGAACTTAAAGAAATGAACAAACAATAACTTTTAACTTCAGGCCCCAGAGGAAAAATGACAATGATTCTTATATTTCTTATCAGAAATCAGTAAATATAACGAACTCATTGCAAGTAATTTTAGGAAAATTCTAACTCTTCCGCCACAAGGAAATTAAAAATGCTTTCAAGTACACAGGTTTCCAAAAATGTTAGAAACTTCGGCATTTTTTTTGTACCAAATGTATCTAACACTATGCATGAACCACCGCTAAGATGTGAAGTGTGGACCCTGTATAATCGTGAAGCCCTTCAAAAGAGTTAACTTACAGGAAACGCCGAGCGCAGGGCAAAGATTTAAGTTTATCCTTAGAAACTCCTTGGAATGCACCGAGCTCAGTCTGTTTTTTTTTTTTTTTTTAAATTGGTGCGACCCTAAGCCTAATTTCCGGAGTTTAGGTTTGGTTCCTTGCCTTTCCCAAACTCCTACTCTGATTTGCCTCCTCCAGGAAGTCTGGAATCCAGGAAGCCGAGGGACAGGCGGAATCAAGCAAAGGGCGACCAGGACAAGGCGGTGAAACTACATGCCTTCCCAGATGCAAGGCTGACCTCGGGTTGCACTGCGACTCCTCGGGTGGACACTGACCTTACACGTCCCACTCCAGGAACTTTCTGTGAAACATTCTCTAGGAAGCTTGGCTTTTCCTAGCAGAACCAGAGCTACCCGGAACTCACGGGCTTCCAGAGGACGCAGGACCCGGAAGTGCCTGGAAAAAAAAGGGGGGGGGGATTGAACCAACAAGAACTACGCTTTGGCTCGAGGAGGCCCTAAAGGCCCAACAACAGCGAACACGGACGAGCGTAAGAGCCGAAGGGCCGAAGGGCCGATGAGCCGATGAGCCGGTGAGCCGAAGAGCCGAAGAGCCGAAGAATGTAGCGCGCGCGGTGATTGGTCATTAGGGCCTGTGGGGAAAACCGTATCTGATTGGCAGGAGAGTAGCGAACCCGCCAGCCCCGGGTCTAGACTTTGCGGGAGGCGGCCTTTGGGTCAAAGGGCGGCTGTCGGGCGGTGTCTCTCCTGGCTGGGTTTTCCCGGACTTCGGTAGCGTTCAAGGGACAGGCGCCGCGGGGTGGCGTCTGGGTGCCTCTGCACTCCGGGCTCGTCCTTTTCATGCCTTGGGTGGAGGGTCTACTGCAGGATATTTTCTAGTGGAGGAGCCCCTAGGGTGGGGCGGCACCCTGTAGGCGGGGTACGCGTGGCCTGGCGGGGGCGGGGTTTGCTGACCTCTGGGGATTCAGGAAAGCGGGTGGCCAGGTTCAGACTGTGGGCCTGGCTAGCTGCGTTATGGCGCAGTTGGGACACAGAGTCTGGCTGCAGGGTGGGTCCGAGAAACACCCCATCTGTACGAAACATTGCGGGTCTTCAATCCCTGGGCAACCGAGGCAAGATCTTTAGGATTGGGGCGCGAGGGAAGGTCTGTTTTGAGCGTTCACCGGGCAATTTTGTGTAGGCAGCGCTTGAATCGCTACGGCCTTATTATGCAGTGTGCAAGGCAATGGCCGCCCAGAGGTCTGAGCAATGAGCTCGGTAGAACTAACTGCCCGCACATAGTAGGTCTACGCAACGTTTTAGCTTTTGCTTTCCCCATCCCTAGTCTTAGGACAACTGTATTGTTAGCTTATCCTGTACAATTAGTGTCACTACAAAATTTCTGTTCACCTTTTAAAATTATCTAACAGTTGTTACTCAGTTTGAAATATGGGCAAGATAATAAAACATTAATGAATTCTAATACCGTTCAAGTTTGTTTTTACTGTAAGAGGTGTATAGTTTAACATCATTCACGCCTGAAATTTTGTTGTCTTCCACACATTAAAGAGGGAAAATGAGGATGCACATTATACATGGACAGTACTAATTTAGTATCTACATAAATGCTTTTTTAAAAGGAGAAGGGAAGGGGAGACAGGGAATGTGTGGTTGCCTCTTGTGTCCCCCCCACTAGGTCCACAACCCAGACGTGTCCTGACAGGGAATAGAACTAGTGACCCTTTGGTTCCCACACCAGCCAGGGCTAAATGTTTTAAATTATCTTATTTTTATGCGTTGAAGGTATAACTCTAGAAAGCAATAACAGTATCCATATGCAAAATAGTACCCTGGAATATGATAATTAGTTTCATTTCTAAATATAAACAAATAAATAATTGGATTAAAAATTAAAACATTTTTTTCCTGAAAGATTGGGCCAAAAATGTAAGTGCGCGTTATACACTGCAAAATAGGGTAAATCAATCACAGGGGGACAATACTGCAATGAATTGGAGGAACAGATTGAAGTTTTTCTCCCTTCCTCTCTCTAAAATCAATAAATAACCCTGGACCGGTGGCTCAGCTGGTTGGATCATTGCCCCATACAAGAAATGGTTGCAGTTTGATCCTCAGGACACATACCTTGATTGCAGGTTCTGTCCCTGTTGGGGTGTGCAAAGGGGGCAAGTGATTGATGCTTCTCTCTCCCCCTTCCTCTCTAAAAAAATTAAATAAATAATAAACATGCCCTCAGATGTGGATGAAAAAATAATGATAAAAAATCAATAAAAACATATTTAAACCAATTGAGAGACTTGATAAATGAGGTGTATGGTGCTGCCACCAGCATAACATGGCTGCAGTGTTACGGCAAACCTTTTCTAGTAAGGAGGAGTAGTCTACTCTAAAAAATAATGATCGTAAGTTTATATAGTAAATATATAAACTAGTGCCAGAGTTATTATCAATAATATGTGCTGTACCTAATTGTATGGGCTATAATTTTATATGACAGCCAGTGCAGTAGGTTTGTTCATACCAGCATCAACATAAACACGTGGATAATTGGTTGCATTATGACCCCAGTAGATGATAAGAATTTTTCAGTTCATTATGATATGGAACAACTGCCCTATATGTGGTCATTGACCAAAACGTCCTATTGCAACATATCACTAATTGCTCATCTAGAGTAAAAAGACTGAGTCTCACTTGGCCTTTGTGAAGAAAGGCAGCCTTGTCACACTTCTCAGGTAGGCCTATAGGTATACTGTACTTCACTTAATTTTTATAAAAAGGGGTGGGGGAACTTCAAAAGATTGACATTTTCAGAAGGCAAGTTCTAGTTCATGGAGCCTTATGTACGATTCATGAACATGATAATACCTGTTGATAAAAATAAAGATACAAAGCCATCCCAAAATTTGAGTTAATGTTTAATGAATCTAGTTAAGAATATAATGAAACATGTAGAACATTAAGATTTGTTTGAAAATGTTTAAAATAAGTTCTGGTTTTTATCATTTAATTTCTAAATACAGAATGCCTTTTTAGATTTCCAGTAACCCTAGTAAGCTGAGGTTTCAAGGAAGCTTTGTGTCTCATTTTTTGTATTTGCTCTATATTTATTTTTCACTCATTTATTTAACGAAAGCTGCTAGGGGGTGGCAATACTGCTAGACTGTGTTGATAGAAATGTGAATTATGCAGACATGGCCCTTGCTCTCGGAGAGCTAATGAATACCAATTGAGAGACAGTGCAAAAGTAGATAATGACCAGAGCATAGTGTATTTTGCCTTTGATTAAGTGCTGTACCTCTGGAAATTCAACACATTAATTGCTTTAAACCTAGAATTTGTATATTCCTGCCTACATGTTAAGAAAAAGTCCCTTGAGGGGGTGAAGGGATCAAGCAAAAGAGAACAGAAAAGACAAGTCAGGGACAAGGACAACAGTGGTGATTGTGGTGGGGGAAGGGGTGGAGGTGGAGGTGGAAGAGGGTATGGAGGCATAAGTGGTAATGGAAAAAATAAAATGGAAAAAAGAGTCTTTAGGATTTGGCTGTGGGCTTAAAAATATTAGTAAAGAGAATCAAATTATATTTATTCATGCATTAATGATGAGAAACAAAAAATAAAAATTGAAATTAGGATATTTAGTTACCTTTAAACATGAAAAAGATGAAAAATTATAATGCCATCTTATACCCTCTTTTAGCCCTTTGGCGACTTTGAGATTTTTAGGAATTTAATAATATTGTACATATGTAAAGGAGACATTGATTTATGCCCCTAACATTGTTTAAAACTGCTGACTTTAAAGACTTAAATTTAGCATATTATATACTTCTTAAATCAATATATTTGAGTCTTTTAGGAAAAAGTTAAACAGGCCTTATGTTAGTTTACTACTACTGCTCTAACAACTTACCACAAAGTCAGATGCTCAAAACAACACCAGTGGTTTATCTGACACTCAGAATTCCAACTCGGTGTTAATGGGCTGAAATCCAAATGTCTTCATGTCTGTATTTCTACTAAAGGGTCTAGAGAAGAATCTGTTTTTTGTTGTTGTTTTGCTCATGCAAGTGGTTGACCAAATTCCATTTCTTGCATTGATGTCCTCAGTTCCTTGTAGGCTGTCAGCTGAGAGGGTAGTCCTGGCTTCTGGAAGCTGTCCACATTTCTTGTGTCCCTCTTTCTTCATCTTCAAAGCCAGCAATGGTGTGTCAACACCCTCTCCCCCTTCCAGTGTCTTTTACCTGTTCTCCTGTTGTTTGATCACCCTAAGTGGTCAAACGCTAAGTTTTGTATTGGTGATATTTAACCAGAGATTTTTAACTCTGAATGAGTTTTAATATCTTACATCATAGAATGACCATCTACAAGGTGTGTCCACAGGGTATCCAGCCACATAATATGAAACATAGGGAAATTATGTGAAGAAGATATAAGATACAAGAATCATTGTACATAGGACAGTGATGACTCAGTCCCATAAAAAGTAGGCACTTTGGGACCTCACACAATTCTCCCAATCACCATCAACTGTCCTGTCATATTTTCCTGAATCTCATCAACAGCCTGGAATCTCTTCCCTTTCAAAAGTATTTTTGGTTTTGGGAAAAGCCAGAAGTTGCAGTGTGCCAAATCTGGACTGTAAGAGGGCTGAGTCACCTGGGTGATTTGATGTTTTGCCAAAAGGTCCTCAGGAGATGGGATCCACAAGTGAGCATGTTGTCGTGATGAAGCTGCCGATCACCAGTTACCCACAGTTGTAGCCTTTGAATCATCCAAATAGTTTTTGTGGAGGAATGTTCAAGCTTAATGCAAAATTTAATGCAGATTTGTTGCTCTACTTACTCAGACATTTTGAATGTGACAGCCACACAGTACACATGATCACTCAATGGTGTCTACCACCTCCACTGACTACTACAATGAATTCATCATTGACCACACATGCACATTCCAGTCCACTCTCCTTGGCTGCCAGGTTACACTGATGTCACATAAACTGTTCTCGTTAAATTAATAATGGCTGGACTTTTTCTGAACAGACCTCATATATTCAGTAAACATTTAAAGAATACTTGTGTATGATCTCTCTCATGAGTCAAACATATTTTATATTTGCATTACCTTTTTTATTTTCCGTAATAAAACAAATGACTGCAAGTTTATAGCATAAAATAGCAGAAATTTATTATCTTAGTTTCTATAGGGCAGAAATCCTACAATAATCTCACTAGGCTAAGATCTAAGGAAGAATCCATTTTCTTGTCTTTTCTAGCTTCTAGGAGGCATCTGCATTCCTTGGCTTGTGGCCCCTTTCTCCATCTTCAAATCCAGCAATTCTTTGCCTAATTAATTTGCACTTATATCTCTTTCTCTGACTATAGATAAGGAAGGTTCTCAACTTTTAGAAATTCCTGTGATAGATTAGGTCCACTTGGACAATCTAGGTTAGTCTTTGATCTCCGAATCCTTAATTGCAAAAGTGCCTTTGCCATGTAATTTATTAAAAGTTTCTAGGGATTCAGATAAGAGCATCTTTGGAGGACAATTATTCTGCCTACCACATTCTTGTATTTTAAATGACTCACTGTCAAAAGGTGCATAGGTTGAACTTTCTGAAAACAGAGGCTATGTTAACTAAATTGTGAGCAAGTGCGTCAGTATCATTTATAATTTCTTCCTCCAGTGGTTGGTGAGAGCCATATCTGCTTAGAGAGTGCCAGGGTACTGCAGGGCTTAGTGGTCAATGTCCTTGTTTTACATGAGTTTTATTCTAGTAAGCAGGAAGGAATCCATTCATATTAGTTGAATGTCTA